GAGTATTGTTTAGTCGTCTTGGGATTTATCGTGGGAGAGAGCGCGCCTATATATACCCATTACGGAGAAGGTTCTAGAATGTCCTGAAACTACTACATGGTAGATAATTGGTATCGATCAAGATCGAAAGTTCTGGAACTTTCAAAAAACCCTATCAAAACTCTTTGATCAACCTCATATGGCAAGGCAAGCATATACTAAAAAGCGTTGCGGCACCCAATTTGCTGATGGTGGATTTCGAAGAACACGCGCTGCCTTAAAAAATACCACTCAGACGACTATTTCCAATATGAGTAGTCGCTTAAGGTGGTCGATCTGATTGGTGGTAGCATACAGCGAAACAAGTGCGAAAAAGATAATTTGCAGTTACATTATAGTATGCCGTTGATCAAGCCCTTTTGGGATGCGGATGCACTCTACTCCCATTCAGAATCGTAGTGACCTACTGAATGCGAAGAGGCTTATACAATGACTTGCGGTGGCCACCTCCGACTCACAGGCGCTCATATACAATAAGAAAGTTGATTGTGACAACATGAAAAGCAAAGAGGTCCTTCAACAGCACACCAAACTCTGGTTCACGACAACCCTCCATTCTCACTCATCAAGAAAACGCTGCTTCTTAAAAACAGTTTACGCGGACGATTAGACGAAGCGACCGAGGGTATCCGGCTTTGGCCTCAAATATGACTGAGTAGTGATACAAGCACTGATGTTCATTGATAAGGAATATGAGAACAAGCCCGCACAGATCCCGCATTGTCCAGCAAGTTCGCGCTCTCCAACAAGCCAAAAACAGAGCAGAAAACAACGAATTTTTTCACGACAGTTGCTGAATCAGAAATCCGCAGGACGAGACATCCACATCACTACGGATGCTGTGTGGACCGAACTGGTTCTGAGTAACATTATCAAAATATCATGAACATGTGCTTGTCAAAATGAGAGAGTATGAAGGTGTTTCAACAGGAAACAACATGCAAATGACCGAAACAGAAATAGCAGCGAAATCGTTTATTCGGTCCAGCTTTCAGCATGTCAGTCAGAAAAAAGGAGCACCAGAGTAAGAACGCCAAAGGCAAATGTCTGCGAAAAAAAACGGCAGATTTCCTTGGCAGCGCATATCTCCAATCATTGCTGCAGAAAAGCGACAAATTGCAGTCGAATAGCGCTTGTGCTGGGAATGTTCGAGTGAATATGCTCGTAGGGAATGCTTGAGAGAGAACTGTACACTGTGTGGCAATCCATCACACTAGACAAGTTTTTCAAGTGAGAATGCAGGTGAAGGAAGCTCCTCGATCCGCCAAACTAACACCATTCTATATAGAAGTCCAAAGTGCGGCCAGCTGCATAATGTACAAAATCAGTTGTAGCAGAACACAATTTTTAAGAGAAATGATTTTGAGGAAAGTCGAAGGTTATAACCAGCTTAGAAAAAAAACAGAAAACTTTTTAGAAAAAAACATGATGTGGAGCCCCATCTTTTCAACACATACTTCAGGTACCCCTAACCAAACCTGTAATGCCTTGCAATACATACCTCCGGAAACAAAGTTTGCCAAACATTTTCCTCAGTTCCCTAACGTAAAACACAGAACACCAATTCAAGATCGCATCCAGATAAATGCATCCATTTTGAGCAAGAGCCAACTCCGAACCTTTTACAAAACCCCACAAATACGAAGAGTATTTTATAGGGAACGATGGTTTCTCAAGACTACACCGCGTACCGCTCGAAAAACGCAAAGAAATAGAGCGTCAAATAAAATGCTGCGGTATAATAAAATAATCGAACCTAGCACAAGCAAATTCGTCCCTCCAATAGTCCTAGTAAAGAAGGCCCAAATAAAGGTCAATGGCGCCTTGTAGCAGATTACCGCCAAATCAACGCCATCACAGAAACAGAAACCTACTGCATCCCACATATGCAGCAGATTTTAGATCTTGTAAGTGGAAAAGAAATCTATACCGTTCTCGATTCAAAAGTGGTGACTATCAAATACCCCTGAAAGAAAACATAAAGAACGTACCGCCTTCTCATCTTTCTCAGGGTTATTCTACTTCACCGTGATGGCACAAATCTTAAACGGTGTCTCAGAAACATTTGAGCTCGTCACAAAATAGTCTAATAGAACTTCGTTCCTGTTGTTTCGCATATATCGATGATGTCATAATTGCAAGCCAATCCATACAGTAACACCTCCACGATTTGAAAGAAATATTTGAAGGCATAATAAACTTCGGAATGAAACTCATGCCAGAAAAGTGCTAATTTTCCACATGAAGTCCAATACTTAGGCGTTCCCATTAGCAAAAAAAAGCACGCTGCTCAACCCCACCAAGCTTGCAAGCATTGCCGATCTGCTGCGCCCAACTAATATAAAAGGCTTCAAATCATTTTTAGGAGCCGCATCTTACTTTCGCCGCTATATCCCGCGCTTTTCTATCATCGTCACACCGCTTTATTCTTCTAGCGAAAATCATGTCTTTCGAATGAATTGAGCAACATGAGCGAAATTCCTCGCTCTGGAGCAGGCTCTCATCGCAGCACCCCTTTTGGTCTCCTCAACATGAGCAGCCATGCATAATCCACACAGATGCATCAACAACTAGCCTCGGCGCTTGCCTACTAGCAATCCAGCAACAAACGAGGAACACCCAATCGCTTACTGCAGCCACTCTTTGAATAAACATGAGAAAAACTACGCGGTTTCTGAACTTGAAGCACTCGCGTCGTTTTCGCCCCGAAACAATTTTACCCATATGTAGCAAATGCGCGAGTATTATGGGTTACGGATAATGCCCCTCTCAAATCCCTAATGCACTGATCAGACATAAAGATCGAATACCGTGCAGGGAAACACAACACTTTGTGTGACTTCCTAAGCCGCTATCCACTGCCACACATTAACGCTATAATAGCGCAAATTTTCCCCTCTTTAGAGGAAATTAAGGAAAGTCAAAGGAACTCCAAGTACGATCCACTTATTAAGTTCCTAAGCAATGAATTGGAAAATCCACCACAAGAATTTGAGGACAAGTTACACCACTATTCCATTCATAACAATTCATCGTAATACAATATTTACGATAAAACGAAGTTGCTCGTTCCAGATACTATGCAGTCCAACATAATCGCCGTATACCACGATGGTCCACTCTTGGCGTCTCATGTGGGAATGAACAAAGCCTATGAAACTATCAACGAAAAGTGCTTTGGCAAGGTCTCTACCAAGATGCTGCGACATATCAATAGGTGTCCAACCGGCCAAAAAGTAAAATATCCTTCAAAACGTGTGATACACCTTTCCAAATCCACAACGCCTTTTCAAACGGATTCACTCGGACACTATCGGACCACTACCAGAGCGTTTAGATGGAAGCAGGTTCACTGAAGCAACGGTGTGTGCCTTCATTGGGTTTGTGTATGCAGCCCTTTGAGAGAACAAAACACATGAATTAGACTTTAAATCACTTCCGACCGCGGCTTGAATTACACCGGCGAAATTTTTGCCAAAATCAACATGTCGATGGGGGTTACAAACAAGTTCACAACCAGTTACACCACAAAGCCAACGAATTGATAAAAATGATGACCAGTTTACTCTCAGCCTACTATTCAGAAGCCAGAGATCTTTGGTCTGATTTTTTACCTTTTTTTGCATACAGCTCAGGTGAAAACACTACTACAGGGTGTGGTCCGTTCTTCGTCTTCACAGCAGATGTCCGATCAATGGAGGGGTGTTCCACACGAGCTTAGCATACTAGGACGACCTACAAGCTGGGATACGACACATAAGGTATACCCCAAGGACATTTCCATTGATAACCTCGTTCTTTTACATGACGACACAGTTCGTCCTAAATTAACCAACCAATGGAAAGGCCCTTTTATAGTCAAGGATATGGAGCGTCCTAAAAAAAGGTTTAGTGGGCGTGACAACGAGGGAGGCGTCAGAACTGCCGCTTATGAGGGTTACGGCGTACTTCCTCACTTACTGAGGAAAGCGCGAAACAGAGACAATCTTAGAGACTGTGGGCCTGACTACTTCGACAAAGAAGGATGCCTAGGAATTGGTTGCGCGCAGGTACTGTCTTTGTGAAAGAGGTGCACTGTATGTCTTCCGAGATTCCCGATGGAAATGTCGGCAGCACAGTAAAGGCAGCCTCTTGTTGCAGCTGGAGCGAACTCTTGGACGAAAATCAGCGACCGACAAACCTTCGCTGTAATGGACCCAACACAAAATGTTGCTTTCAAAGAGCGGGAAGCTAGTTTAAATCGCGTAGTCTTCGCTACACGTTATGTCTGAACGAATTTATCTTCACTGAGAGGTCCAGAAGACGTTCTCACAAAAAAGATACAGCGTTATTTGTGGGCCAGCGCAGCCATTTGAACTACACGGCTGCTGTAGCGTAAATCGATTTGTGATAGAATTTTCCAGCAGTAAGGAATTCCACCTACTAAGACTGTTCACAGATGAAACTATACACTTTTCAAGAAGGATGTAAGTTCGAGGCAAGTCCAGTGGGCCATAGCGCTTCACTCCCACAGCACGCGATGTAGCCGCAGAAACAGAACAAACACCTCAACAGCTCATAAAGGTGGAGGGAGGGTGTCATATAGGCTCTCCCTCCTGGAGGGGTCATACCGGCCAATGTTCCACGATGTGATGTCTGGTCCTGCCGAGAACTCTGCCCACTCACTATCTGGACCATCGAAGCACAAGAACGGCGATGCTCAATATGTGCGGCGAAATCGTATAGCACAGGCGAGAGAAAAATGCTTTGCAAAACTGCTTATGAGGCTTGGAACCCAGGTTTGGTATCATCGTCCGGGAACGCATACTAGAGAATAAATCCCTTTCGAAATGGCCAGGCGAGTTGGCATTTTTTCCCTGTATAGTGGACTATGCATGGAGTGTATTATTACAATAAAATAAGAATTCAAGCATAAGAAACAATCTTTCGGATGAGTGGATTTTTCAGCTGCTTAAGCTGCTTCAGCTAATAGTGGTTCTGGGGTCAGCACAACTATAAAAAATGAATAATTTTTCTACCCTTACCTTGTACACCCTTCTCCAAGCAGATTTATTGTCTTCCAACATCCTTTTCCAGAGTAGATTAGTAACTTGGTAGAAACTATCATACCTGAAAGTTGATTTGGGGAATATGACTCTTTGAAGGAGCATGTTGAAAGAAATCAAAAGATTTACTGGAAAGTATAGTTAGCAATCTCTTTCATTTGCGGACCAGTCGGACCCCACGGATCTTCATTTGTGGCCTCATAGACAAGATTTTCAGCCTCCGTATAATTCATGACTATGGTGTGGCTTAAACAAGAACGTTATCATCAACAAAAGCACACTAACCGGATATGACTGAAGAATGCAACATGGCCGAATCGGCGAAATAATGTATCGGCGACCAAAAGAGTTACCGCCATGCCGTTTCTTGTAGAAATGGTAGCGAGATTAAAGGAATGAAAGTAAGTTATTGAACAACCAGTCGGATCGCACGGCTCACGCCGTGCTCTCCTCCTTCTCTTGAGCTCGGCTTTGGAGAGTTGGCCTGGCTTCGCCAGGCGGCTCCACAATTTTAACGGAATTTTTTCGGTAGTGGGCTACTCATGAGGCGCTGTACTGATCGAATCGTAACAGACAGAGCAAGGCTTAAGATCCCGAACAACTCAGCACGCGCTTCTAGAAGCTTCTCGCCCATAGAATAAAATCTGTAGATAGATACAACGTGCAGACGGCCAATACAGCGCAATATGAATCGTTCAATGAAATAGCAGATTTCGTTTCCATTACCTGTACCGGAATGCCTACCGACGAACGTCTTCCTTTCACTTAGCATGCGATCCGCTCGTTGAAGTGTTTTTCAGTTCTGCTCGAATTTCCCTGAGATTCCTGTTTCAGGCGAACTACATACCCCCCCCCCCCCGCTCGTCGACATAGACATTATGTAGTAGAATGAGTTAGACATTATATAGTAGAATGAGTTCGTTTTCTAAGGCTATCAGGGAAGTGATGGCTGAAGGAGAAGTATGCACACTGAGCCTTTGATACTTGGGGGTATAGTGATAAGAGAGGTAGTGATAATGACCCCTTATCGTTTCTTATCAATTGAATCCTGTCACCCGTCATCAATGTCCCTATCACCGAAACTATAATTTGGTAGTGTAAAGGCTCCAGCAATTCGACTGAACAGCATCGGCAACGTTCCTTATCAGCCCCAGCTGTTATCACCTCACGTGCGTGTCCTCATCTCCAACCCTATATCATTTTCTGAAATTAACACCTAGCTGAAGCTGTGTTCCGAGTTATGAGTATGGTGACCATACCATGCTAACTCCCCTTATCAAATCCTATCAGCTGCTATCATTCCCTGTCACCCATCAATAATGTCTCAAGTCCTACATCATACGTTGGAACCAATGTCCCACTGTTACTGTGTCCCGCACTATGGACTCGGTCACCCTCCCCTTCTAAGGCCCTTATCGAATCTTATCAGGTGCTATCATTCCCTGTCACCCATCAATAATATTCCTGTCCCACGTCCTATATCATACCTTGGGACCAATGTCCTTACTGTGGCCCGCACTATGGGCTCGGTCACCCTCCCCTTCTAAAGCCCCTTATCGAATCTTATCAGGTGCTATCACATTCCATCACCCACCGAAAGTGTTCCCGTCCTGCCACGTATAACACTTCTTGGAACTGTCGTCTTATCTTTTCTGCGACGCTCGCTATGAATTTCGTGACAGACAGACAGACGCATACACAAACACACACAGACATACTTAGCGGATATAGTAGGATGAGAGGGATTCATGCAATTACTAAGGTAACACTAAGATATCTTTTTGCAAGGCAGCTTCCATATCTGCAGAAGGAAACTCGACGACTCTGGTAATACGCTTATTTGGGTCCGCCAACACAAGCAGATCAAAGAATGACCTGATGTGGCCGGAGCCAGCCATTTACAGGCACTCGGAGATGTGGTACCGGAAGAGACGGCCGGGTCGCTCGCCAATGGTCCATTGTTTGGGTCTTTACATTTTTTGTGAGAAATCATCTGAGCACATGACCTTGAGCTTCAAACGATAGCATAGAACTGTACAGCAATAGGGAAAACAAGGAAACAACAGCAAAACATCGTAACAGCACTACAACATCATGACATACTCAGGAATAGTATACATTAGGTGCGAATCTTATCTCGCGACCCGGCCGACTCTCCGGTACCGCATCTAAAAAGCGCCTATAAAAGGCCGGCTCCGGTCACATCAGCTCATTCTTTGATCTGCTAGTGTGTGATGGACCCAAATGAGCATGCTATCCAATTTCGAGTTTCGTTCTGCAGACATGAAAGCTGTCGTGCAAAAGATATCCAGTGTCACCCTAGTAATTGCATGAATCCTTGAATTGCACGAATTGATCGAAGAGCAACCAACTCTTCCGGATTTTTGACTTTTTTGAGAGCGCTCAGCAGACTTTCCTTGTTCTTTCAGCAAACTTTGTTGTTGTTTTCCGTAGCGTTTATACAGGAGGGGAGGACAAAAAAGACACTTTTCTTCCTCGACTTTCGAGGCGATATAAACTACACTTTATTAAATTCTGATTGGACAATTCCACCATCAAAGTCAACAACACATTGCACACTATCACGAAACTCTGCCACAGTCTCCTGGACGAACGCCATCGAGTGATTCTGCCACGCGACCGTGATTCGGTGTCTAAGTTCAGCTAGGTCGTTGATTTCTCCACGACTTAGACGACCACCCTGTTGAGCTCCTCCCGGACCCGTTAATCGGGGGATTCAGGTCAGGTACACACTTGGATATTCCGTCTTCTGCATTGTGGTTTTCAAAACCCTACGATTCCACGAGCTGGCTCCCAATCCTGTAGCAGTATGAAGTTTCCAAGAGGGTACAGGTGACAACATGAAGGATATTCTTCTCGAGTTGGCCGCTGTAACCGTCAGCGTTCACTTTCAGGGTATACGAAGAAAATATCGGTCTTCCCATTCTAGGTACTTCCCAACCCGCGCCTTGACGGCTGCGGTGAAGATGATATGCTCCACTACAGCGACGTTGTCATATAGAGACCCAAAACGAAGCAGTTCCCATAGATTTCTTTTTATTCCTTTATTGCCTTTCCTGGAAGCGCGCAGCGAAAATGAAGCACGCTTTCCAGGTCATTGTGTGAGCAAAGAATTATTTTCAAAAAGCGCATCACACCTTGAATGACCTCTCTTGCGAGTGGCTGCAGCTTTTTACCAGGGAAATAAGCGGGAATGGTTGGACCGTGTGCAAATGGATGCTTCATTGCTTTTTTTGGTTCTTCTTCTGATTGTAATACTTTCTGAGATAGCTGTGGAACTTACAAGAGAGGTCGTTCAGGGCGTGGTGCCCTTTTTGAAAACGGTTCTTCGCACATCGTAGGGGCTCATGCAGGGCCGAGAGAAATCAGCCTCATTTTCACTGTGCGCTTTCAGGAAAGACAAAAGTTGTTAAGGGCATCTGTGAAAACTGCTTCGTTTTGGGCCTTTATGTGTAGTAAATCACTTGCAGCTCTGACTAGCTGCTGAATGGAGGGTCCTTATAAAGCGACTATTAAGCTGTTGAAATCCAAGTGAAAAATCGTCGCAAATGAGGAACCCATGGAAACCTTTGGACTTGTAACGTTGTGATTCCTCAACTAAACCGATTGGGACAGGGATGAAAACATCTACAACCAAAAATCCAGAGTGACTGCCCTGCAACACAGAGGCGAGGGTTCCCTCTACATAGGGTGAAGGGCGTGCACACTTACAGTAACGCTCAAAAGTATCCGGCCAAACGCTTTTGCGACCATAACTTTCTTCTCACCCAGCCACGCGGTTATCGCGGCTTTTATGTCAACGCTCTCCTTGAGCAGTAACATCATTCCTATTTTCGACACTATTACCGTCTATGAAATGGAGGTAAGCAGCGTTGATCAAGGACGCAGATGTGAGAGAAACCGATCATTCAAACAGCATTCACGCACGCAGGTGGGCGCGACGAAGTAAGCAAAACCGGCAAAGCCTGGCCCTATTAGAAAAGGAGCCGCACCGGCGTCAGCCAGCGAACAGAACTGGTATCAAATGTACGCGTGACAACAGGTTTCAAGAGTGTGGCGGCCTATGCACTAAAACGCACTGAAAGTAGGGACCCCGTGCTTGAGAACACGATCCACCCACTGAGGGCGGACATGCTGAACTCTCGCCATATGTTTCTCTTCACCAAAAGTTTTTCCTGATCTTCAAGCTCACTCAGATGCGAACCACGAAATTTTTCAGCAGGAGCCTGCCCATCTCGAAAGCAAGCCCGCCCATTTTTGGGATGTCTCCTCCACTTCGTCCGCTGACCCCTTGTGGACCTCAGTCCACCTGTCCCCGGTGTCTGTGCTGCTCTAGTACTAATTCGTGAATTTTTGACCTGCCCGCCACAACATCGACACAGCTCTACACAGAGTGGGCGCCTAAAACGCTTCTCGCTTTAATAGCGGAGCTCCTGCACATTTTTACCCGTCTTTGCCGGTGCCTGGAGTCTGTTCTGGATTTTCCCGCATTTGGCTCCGCCGCATAGCCGTACGCTCCGCCTACAAGGGCTGTGTGCCGCATCAAACGGTGATCCCTCCTGACCATCCACTTCCGTGTTTTACAGAACTTTTGTCTGTCTCCGCTCACCTCGGGCTGGCACCTCCCACAACTTGTGTGCCCCATATTTCTCAATCGGTGTAGTAATAGCCTAACTGTGCCCGAAAATGAACTACTGATAAGCGACTTCACGACCACAAAAGAAGAACTAGCAAGGGTTCAAAGTTGACTTACACGGATTCTCCAAGCTTCTTGATCTGATATGGTATCTTATTACTAAACTGCTTTGTGAGACTTGTAATACCAGATAGTAGATCCGACATGGTCAACTGAAACGAAAGAGGTTGTAGTTGGATAACTGAGTAGAAACCCGATCACAGCGCACCAGAGTTCACTGTTGGGAAAGAGAGATATATCGCAGTGAGTATGTGGCAGAAGAATCGTAATTGGCCGCGCTGATGGGCGCCGCGTGCGACGTCGTACCCGCAAATGATGATGGTTCCAGATCGGAGATGGCGACAACAGGCAACGTAAAACGGAAAATGCTCATACATGTCACAGTTTCGTAGCCCACCTGGAATTCGGTGCTCCAGCGCATGCTGTAGGAAAGGGCATTTGTGAATACATGCTGAGGTCAGCAGAGGGCACAAACATTGTGGGCCCCGCCCACAATGTTTGTGCCCTACCTTCACCGGCGACCCTCTGCTGACCTTAATCCGCTTTTTTCCGATGTCTGGAGTCTCTGAAACTATTTTACAGATTTTTCGTCTGACTCCGCCCACCTCAGAGCAGACCCCGCCCACAATTTTTGTGCCCCAAAGTCTCACTGGCGACCCTCTGCTGACGCTAATCCACTTTTTCGGTCTTCAGAGTGCACGTGAACCGTTTTTGCAGATTTTCTCGTCTGACTCCGCCCACCTCAGAGCAGACCCCGCCACAATTTTTGTGGCCCACAATCTCCAGTGACGACCTCTGCTGACCTTGATGCCACTTTTTTCGGTGTCTGAAGCCGTTTCTGGAACCGTTTCTCAGAATTTTTGTCTGGCTCTGCCCACTTCGAAGCAGACCCCGCCGCAATTTTTTGCCCCACAATCTTCACCGACGACCCTCTGCTGATCTTGATCCCTTTTTTCCGGGGTCTGGAATGTTCTGGAAGCGAGCCACAAACATTTTTAAAATGATACCCTGCGATTTGGGGCAAGCTCCGCCCACTGTGGGCCCGGGCCCTCAACACACTTCGAGCGTGCCCTATTCGCCAGATCTTCACATCCTACACTGAGTTTTTTGCGACTTCCAAACACTCTCGCGAACCGGTTACTAATTTTGAGAGAAGCCCAGCCCAGCTTGAGTACGCCCCGCCCCTTTTGGATGTGTCTGCCACCAGTTAATCTGGCGACTCCTTACAAACTTATTCCCTTTTTTCCGCATCTTTAAGCTGCTCCGGAAGCGAATTATGAACATTTTTCTGGGGAACCCAAACTTTCGGCGAGGCCCCCCCCCTCTGTGCGGCTGGGCTTCTCGTAGGAGCAAGTTGTATTTTGTTGTCCCATGCCCTACCCATCCCCACCTTGAGCCGACCTCTCCAAGTCGTTCTTCAGGTCGAACCGAATTTCCGGACAGACAAACTTATTACAAACTTACAAACAGACAGACGAAGCGCTTTATATATTAGGTTGCTGCATAACTTTTTCCCCCTTTTTGATCCTTCCGTATTTCGTTTGCATGAATGTTGGTATTTCGTCATCACGTGTGCGTGACGTGTACATGATACTCTTACATCACACTAGCTATCACTCGCCCACCCTGCATTTGCAGGCTACAATACCGCACAATTACCAGTGTAAAACCATGTCACAGTGGTGATTGTACAGCATTGTGGCCTTCTTCCCCCGTCCTTCCGGGAGGAAGGAATCGACAAGCTGCCTGAGCGTCGGCGTCGAGTGGATGGTGATGGTACATACGTCTAATCTTCAGGCTGGTTCGCTATTGAGATATTTACAAAAAGTCGGGGAAAAAACATATGCAACAACCTAATAGATCTAGATTCACACTGCAATTCTTCACAAGCCGCTGTGGTAAAGGAATTCCAGCAAAAATACAACACAATGCTTCAAATGCTCAAGCTAGCTCAAGTTAAGTACGAGTATACGCAGCCTCAAGTGGTCGATGGTGTAGTGGATAGGTAAGTTGCTCCATAGATGGGAGGTCATGGGTTCGATTCCTTGACAGGTTCCCGTTTTTGCATTTTTTCGGAACATCTTCTGCGAGTTTAGAAAATACTTTTATCCGTTATTTTGTCAAGCTTCCTCTTACTTGCAGCAGGAAAAGGCTCAAGTGCCGGCAATTGTGCTTCGCTTTCAAGACTTTTATGCAGTTTTTACCGTTTACTGCCCAAATCACCCGAAATCAGGCCAGTTTTTGACCGAATTTTTTCTTCGTAAGCAGAATTGACTGAAAAGTTGCCTACTAGGGGAGTGTGGCCTTCTAAACATGATTATTACATCCGCTCGGCGCGAAACCTCTTAGCACCCGTGCCACAGGCGCCAGCGCCAAAATACCCCGAATCACCAAGTTCGCTGA